AAACTGTGGATGGCAAAAGATTGGTCTAATTCTTTGACCAGGGCAACTGGTGTGATACATTGTAAACGTATAAAATATTTGTAACATCTCACATCGTATCATGATTCAATATGAATTTTGAGCCAAATATTTTCTTTTTGGTAGAAACACGAGTAGTATAAAAAAGAACGTAATGATAATGTTAACTGAAAACGAGTACATTCGAAAATTTCTACATACCTTAGAATGACGCAATAAACTAAAGACAGCATCAACTTTTAAAATACATGTTAAACACAAAAACTTAGTGCGCTTCATAGAGCAACGAGTAGAGGACAATTTGGCGTAGTAACATAATGCCAATTCAAATAAACATATAAACCTTCATTGACCATGTTAAAATATTGCTTGATTAAACAAATATTCTTAGAATAGAACAAATTCGCATACCTCCTTTACTTGCGGTGAACAAATTAAATCAAATGTGTATCGGAACATGCACCAACAACTCTGCACGGCTGGAAAATACTGCAGAACACATCTCACATGTATATTCTACAGCATCCGGTATTATAGTTTCTGGAATATCATCCACAGGCGCTATAACACTATGAACAGCCAACATTCGCTGAGGTGTGGATTCAACTTTCACACTAAGTTTTACATTTCCAGCTCCAACATCTTCGGTATTATTAATTTTCCCTACATCGGGAAGGTACTTGTTATCTTCCTCGGTGGTGACACTCGCTTCAAATGCAATCTCCAGATTACTTCCATCCACCGCATGTTCCATTAATCTTGCGGAATCTGTGTTCTCTGTGTTATTATTATTCTGTATTTCCTCTTGATCGATGTCCATCGGTTCTTGCTTGATTCCATGTTTTTGCTTCTTAATTTTTTTCAGAACACCCGTTCTTTTTCTAGATGTCGGTTCTATCTTTTCGTTGTTAACGGCAAGGATATTACCATTGTTATTTCTGTGGTTGTTACTAGGTATTTTTGGTGTGTTAGGTTCCAGCTTTATGTTAACTAATGGCAACGGCTGATGCGTTGGCGTTGAAACTTTTGAAACTTCTTCCTTTGGCTTTGGGAATGTTGCTGGCGGTGGCTGAAGCTTCCCTTCGATGTGATAGCTAACGTTTTTTGTTCTTGGTCTATTTCTTTCTCCACCTGGAAAAATTCCTAATTTATGTTCATTTGGCATTACTTTAGGAGTCCTTGTCACCATAGTTTTGGTTTTTTGCCCCTTCTTAACCCCGTCACTACCAATTTCTACAGGCACTCTTGTTTTCTGTGTATGAATCATTTTTGGTCTCCCAGGTTGGCACGAAGTTTGAGCTTCATTCTTCTTCTCCTCTTTTCTAAGCTTCTTCTTAGATAACTTGGATTTCCCTGGGTTTAATTTCGAATTACTAACAATTGAATTTATATTTTGTAAAGAGCTCTCAAAACTTTTAAGAACATTTTGATATCCTTCTTCGACATTCGACCGATGCTGCTTATTCTTCCTTCCAAGTTTTCTCTTGGTATTATCATCTGAATCGGAACCTGCTTCCATCATATCGTACTGCTCGCTTATACGTAACATTGTATTAGTTTCATGAGGCTTAAGCTTACGTCTCCTTTTATATTTACGAGGTCCAGTTTGCGGCTGTCGTCTTAACGCGGTATTATCATCACAGTGTTGCACAATGTGAGCAACTATCTCTTCGGATGTTCCGTATGCATCGCCGCATACCTTACACAAATATGGAGTAACGCTACCTACACATTTTGGATCGGGACCTGAATGATGAGCACGAACATGTTCTCTGAGAACAACCTGAATCAATCGACAAAAACGAACGTGAATATGTAACACGTAAGAGTAGAAAAATACGTTGTACTTCAACTGTTAGCCTTACTCTTTGATTGAAAGCGCGAGGACAAATCGCGCATCCATATGGTTTTTCGCCTGTGTGAATGCGTTCGTGTTTCCTTAAAGTTCCACCATCGGCAAATGCTTTCCAACAAAATCTACATCCGTACGGCCTTTCTCCAGTGTGGATACGTATATGAATCTGTTGCGAACTGCGACTTCCGAATGTTTTTCCACATTCTCTGCACGGAAAAGAACGGCCGCCTAAATCTTTATTGTGTGAATGACGATGGCTGACCAAAGCTCTACCGTCAGGGAATTCCTCTCCGCATTCATCGCAAACTACCATTTTATTACGATGCGACACCATGTGCCTAACATCAACATATCTTAATGAATAATCGATTTCAAAAATATATAAAATATTCATTCTCCTAAGCAAAAGTACCTTCGTAATCTAGCTTTACTGTGAAAACGTTTTCCACATTTTGTACATCCGAAAGTTTTATCGACATTATGAACCCATGAATGTTTTAATAAACTGCGTTTATCTTTACATGTTTTCCCACAAAGAGTGCAAGTATTTGGTGGAGCATCTTCAGCATGATTTTGACGGACATGTTCTGCAACTTCTGCATCATCGCGACATCTTTCACCGCACAATAAGCACCGACGACTAGGTGATCTGAAAGAACTGAATCAATTAATTTATCAGAATTTAAAAAACATCTATAACGAATTTTTTAGAAGTAATACCTAGCATGAAGTTCAGCATGTGCTAGCAATGCTAAAGCCTCTTCAAACCACTCTCCGCAAACATTGCAAACATGGTGTTGACTTGAACCTTCCATTGTATCATCCTCTTGCTTGATATGAATCCTAATGTAATCAATATTAAAATTAATATCACAATGTTACGAATTTTCCTGAAAATCAGCGCAAAGTTGAAACTAAATGCAACTACGATCTGCATTTGTAACGGTAAAAACTGTACATTGCTTATTTATTTGCACAAGGTAATCTTACTTTTGGTGACGTTTAAGTAAATCCAAACGATGAAAAGGAACACCACAAGTATTGCAATAAAACTCTCCAAATCTTTCATCGCCCGTATATGTAGCGTCATTGTCATATTCTTCGGTATCAGACTGTACAGTGCCGCCGTGTTTAGTACGAACGTGTTCCCTTAAACTATTAACATCCCAAAACATGTCACCGCATGATGTACATTCAAATGGACTATCACCACCATGTATGCGCGCATGAGATGCAAGTGCCTTTTCTCGCGCAAAACCAACACCACAGAACTGACACACGTATGGTTTTGTTGGATCAGTTATAGGCCACCTTGGTGCTTGAGGTTCAGTAGAGACAGACGATATCTGATCATTCCATTTCGAGCTTGACGCATAGTTACCACTGCATGTAGAATTTCTACTAGTCATTTCCTCTAACAAACGTGTATCTTCGTCAACATAATCATACGATTCATTGACGTACTTGCCCATTTCCATTTTATTATCCTCAACAGTACGTTTTGGGAGTGTAGAGTAGTTTTTACGTTTCCTTGGCGCACTGGATTGAACTTTCTTACGTCTACCTTTGGTAGACTCTTCAGCCTCTGGTGCCAGTGGATCGTCGTCATTCAAATCATCCTCCAAACCATCTCGAGATGGCGCATACGCATGAATCTTCAAATGATTCATAAGATCACACTTTCGAGCATAACGTGCTCCACACAAATTGCAACCGTGAGGGCGATCTGTCTGATGTGCTACCATATGATTCATTAAATTTGCTTTTTTCCTGAACCTTCTGCTACAGAAGTCGCATGGATAGGGTCTACTATTTGTGTACGAATCTTGGTCAATAGGTAATGGTATTTCCATATCATCATATTCAAGTAAATTATCATGAGACACTTTAGAATCTGGTATCTCAACCCTTTAAAAAATAATATCAATGAATCTCTGAATTTTTTCAATATAGTTATGCAAACATTGACAACTTACCCATCTTCGTGACCAGATCGATCCCAATTATCTGCTATCACTTCTTCTGTAACCTGAATATTTAGATAATCATGTCCTTGATCCTGCGGCACTATATAAATAGATTCCATATCACTAGATTGCGGAACCATTAATATTTCCGACTCTGTTGTAGAAGTAATATTAGGGCCAGATTCGACTGTCTCTTCAACTGTAACTTCCTCGCAAGCTCCTATTACTCCTTCTTCTGGAGCAACTAACTCTGCTTCTAAACCACATATTACTTCCTCGTGAATAACATTTCCCACCTCCTCCACCCATTGCAACGTTAAATCTCCAGGTACATCCATTTTATTGTAATATAAATTTATTTGATCACTGAAATCACTAAAATAAAAAAAAATTCGATTTAAATCATGTTAAAATAATTCACATTTTCTTAGTTGCAAATTATACTACAGAAATTATGTTAGAAGGAAACTATACTGAATAAAATTTGTTGACAATACATGAAATAATTTAAAGCATGTACATATACATTACACAATAGACACAATTATTAATTAAATGTTAATATGATACATAAATTATATTCATACAATTCAAAACACGTACATATTGTTTCAAAATATTTGCTACAATTTGTTTTTTAACAATGAAAAATGTTAATTCGCTTAGCTTGTACATAAAGATGGAGCAAGATTATAACTTAAAAGGAACATTTAATGTTTCTATAACAATAAAAAAATAATGTTCATTTAAGATTTTTAAGCACAGGAGTGACAAATTTTGACTTCTAAATATATTTTTCAATTATTAATATAACAATTTCGATTTGTTTGATCGAAGTATACTTCAATAATACACTTGTAAATAGCAATATTGGAAACAAAATTTCGTACCAATTTCAGTTAAGGAACACACAATTCCGGGACTCGACGTTACATTTTGATCAATTTCTTTGGATTTGCGACGTACAATCCCGAAAAATTGTTTCAACGAGAAATATTTAAAATTGTTGACGTCTAAGGTTATATTATATAGGTTATGACTTTAGAGGTTATATCGAGTATTTCGAAATGGAAAACAATTCTGAATGGAGAAATCGAGCGAAAACAGTGGCGAATGTGTCGTCGACGAAAAACAAAGGGTGGCTGATGGGGCAACTGTATTTTACATATGATCAAAGTAGTAGCCATAGCCTCTCTTACGCCAAGCCTCCTTCCATCCAATTACATATTACGAACTATGGCCAAAGCGGCACTCGTCCACGCGTGAATAGGAATTTTCTACCTGGATTCAATTACGATAGGAGCAGAGTCGATCACAATGATTTACTTACTGTTCAAATGTCTTCCGCACAGCTATTAACCTAACCAAAAATACTCTATCGGGATCGAGAACAGCGTCGACCTTCGGTTGTTTTCAATTTGGAGGGGATACGTTTAGAAATAAATTGAACAAAATGGCCGACAGACATGACTTCGAGGGACAGCCAACTGTAGATAAGAGAGCTGCGCAAATCCTTTTGCGTTTGATATATAGCGTTGCTTCTTACGGACAACCAATCATCTGTTGTACCATTTTTATATATACCAATTTACAAATAATATCATCTATTATTTCTCATTAATATTTGATGTTTAGACGGTAAAATCAACAAAGCAAATATGCAAAATGGTAAATGCGAAGCTACAATTTCTTATTGGATTATAATGTATGCGAACTTGTAAATGCGTCTTATCGTGTACGTGAAATATCTGTGTACTCGTTGTCTACCGTCTATACATTGCCTTTTTATGACTATTATTGTTTTAACTGCCAGATTCGAATTGTTCCATACGCATTATGTTCGCGCTTAAATGTTGTTTATGTTCTCTTTATTTTTAAATTGATTATATGGATATATACTGTGTCAAATTTATTTCTTAAACAATACAAATTCGAGTAAATTTAATTGCATCTGATATTATAGTGTTGTTAAAATTCGTTGGACATGGTGCTTGTTAGGTCGCATTCAACGGTGAGTATGAATAAAGAATTGACAATATTTTTAGAAGACCAATTTATTTATTTTGAAATTCATACACCGTATTTTTTACCAGGAAAACGTCAAACGTTCGCAACCGATAAGAATTAGAGAATGTTTAACATGTCCAAAATTAGTAGGAAGTGATATACGTAAGAAAGGTAATATCAATATAAGAAATCCTTTAATAATAATCATACCATTAATAAATATTTATATTTATACCTTGTAGATTGCGATAGAGTCAGAAGCCAACCAGTCAGAATATTACAATTAATAAAACAAGATGAGGAAAAGAAAAGTAGCGGTTAGTATAATTTCTTTTCCACTGTTATTTTGTGCATTATTGATCTACATACAATAATTTGGCATTTTAGTACGCAAACAAAGATTACCTGAAAGATTAGGTCCACTTTCAGGCAGAAAACATACATCAACGAAGGAACAATACAATGGTTAGTTAATTATTATATTTTTAATGTACAATGGTATTTATACTAATATGTAATTTATTTTTATTAGGACAAATAGATGATGATACAAAGCATTCTTACAACCCTGTACGTAGAAATCTTAATTTTAATAACATGTGTGTTAATAATAGAAAGAATGAGAATAGAAGAACAGAGTGTTTGACCAAGTCAACCTTTTCAAATAGCAGTCAGGCCTGTAATGAACTGTCTGAACCAGACATGAGAAAAAGTTTATTATTAAAACCGAATACTATCAAAAATAAGCATTTACAAACATGTACAAAAAAAGTATATAGATATTCAAAATTGCCTGTAGCATCAAAGGAAAATATAGCTACTTGTAATAAGAATGAAATTTCCACTCATTCTACCAAAAGTGAAAATAAAAGTTCATTGTTGCTTAACAATGATTTGTATAGTAAATGTAATAATAATAATTCTGCAGAATCTGAATCTAACGTAACATCCAAAAAATGTAAAACCGCCGAAAATGTAAACTATTCTAGTCTAAATATCGTTAATACAAATTACGTAGAATCTTGCGAAATTTCGAATACAACACCTCTACAAGTTTCTCGATCTACGATTCATCAAGAAACATTAAATAAGGAATATCAATTCTCTATGCAAAATAATACACTGCATAAAGTATCTTCCCCAGAACAGAGTAATTTAAAATGTGAAAAATCTGAAATATCGAAAGATCAAGATAAATGTATAGAAGACTTATGTAATAACTTGCAAAGCACAAAAGTGGCACTGCTAGAAAGTAATCTAAATGTACAGCATACTTCATCCGAGATGATATACGTTGACAAAAAAGAAATTACACATTTGAAATGTGAATTGGAAGATTTAGTAAATACTACAGAAGAAAACCTGAAGAAGTTGAAATCGACATTAACATATGTAACAAGATTATTATCTGTACCAGATGAAACAGTCTCAAAGTCTGACACTGTTAAAGAAAAAGATGAAGATTTGGAAATTCCAAAGATTAACAGTGATGAAAGTTTTGTAAATTTAGAAAATCAGCTTAACATTATGCCTGTTAATCATGTTGGGTCTATTAAAAACCGATTATCCCAAGAAAATACACCTGTGATTCTAAAATACAGGCAAAAACGGTTTCTGAGAGAGTACGTGACTTTGAAATCAAGCATGACTTTTTTGGAAACTCCAGATGGCAAAAAATTTACAAGTTTATGTCAGAAAAATAATATAGATAAATCCATTTTAAGCAGAACAGATATTTCGAATAAAGTACTCAAGGAACTTCAAAATTTATATTCCGATTCGCCGGAATCTAATTGAAATTTTACTTTAAATTTCGGACCACAATTTTCAGTATACATTATTTAATTCAAGTTTCCGGCGACAGGATACAGATTCAACCCGGAAGTCATAATTTTGAATTTTAATCGCTGTCCACCGAAAATCAAGTCTGAAATAGAAAAATGATGAATAAATAATGATATTGCTATTAAGTTACCAATTTGTATATATAACATCAAACAAAAATGTATTTGTATATCTATTTAAGATTAATAAAGAAATGTATAATTTATAAATAAAATTGTACAAATGTTGTCACACTTTATTTATTAAACTAAAAAATGAAATATTTATTAGGTTGTTTTACTCTTTTATAAATGAATGTTTTGATTTAACATTGGCCAAATATAAAATTGTATTCATCAACGATTTTAAGTATCATTTTTAGCGTTACATTGAAGACTGATGTGTCAAAATAGTCTAATATGAAAACGGATAATCGGTTAAATTAGTGTAGGCGAAAGTGCATCGTGTGATTGCGTGTCTTCTAGGATGCTCAATCAATGGTGCAACAACCATCTCAAGCTCGTTCGGGTTGGCTCCTGTCATGGTCGATTTATTAACGAGTATATGATGACATTAAGTTTGAGGGTTCTTATTTCTCGATTTTCCTTACGATATTGTTTTTAAAGCGACCCGTACATTATGTCGCACTTTTTAAACATTTCGTAACTAATCTAAGATTATCGTGTGATTGTACAAAATAAAAGGTAAAGAATGGCCCGACCGAAGCAAAGAGTTACCACTGATATTTGTGCTGATTGCGGAGCTCTCGGTAAATGTATACAATTATTTTAATTATTTATTAACAAGTCGATTCTATATGTTAATCATTAATTGTAATGTTGCATAATCAGATACTAACGAAATATATTTTTTTTCTTAATTGGTTAAAATAAATATCTAATGTATTTCGAAAAGGTTAATGTTAATTACGTATTTACATTTGTCTTAGGTCATATTTACCTGTACATTATGCATAATTATATTATTTATAATTCTACATTTAATTATCAAGTGAATTTTGTAATTATTTTGTTTAGAACCAGGATGGGCTTCTTTGAACAGAGCCATTTTATTATGCGATGATTGTTGTGGTATACATCGTAGTCTGGGCCGTCATATATCCCACATAAAGTCACTACATAAGAGTATATGGCATACAAATTTACTTAATGTTAGTAGACATTAAAAAAACTTTGCAAATCAATGTGTATCTGAAGTAGTAATGTGTAATGTTTTATAGATGGTGCACACATTAAATGATAACGGAGCTAACAGTATTTGGGAACATTCCCTTTTAGATCCTAATAATTCAAAGATTAGTAGAAGAAAACCGCAAGCTAAGGATCCGTTGCAGTTAGTACTACTTATATAATAATGCAATATATAATGTGACAACTTAACAATTAATTTATCATTCATTTTTTGTAGTCCAGTGAAGGCTGATTTCATTAAGGCAAAACATCAACATTTAGCATTCGTATTACGTCCGAGTAAAGAAGAATGTTGTAGTAAAGAGGAGTTAAGTAGACAGTTACATAGTAGTGTTCGTACAAGCAATTTAGAAACTTCTTTAAGATTGCTTGCACAAGGTGCTAATCCAAATTATTTTTACAAGGTATTAAAAGAATAAAATATTCAAAGGTACATTGATAATACAAACACAGAGCATAATAAGACGGTCTTACAGGAAAAGGGTACAACACCGTTGCATGTAGCCGCTCGTGCAGGACAAGCTTTACAAGTAGAGCTTCTAATTGTTAATGGTGGCAACCCTAGTATAATTGATTTCAATGGGCAAACACCTGCAGAAATTGCCAAGTATTTAAAAATATATTGTATATCATGCAAATGCACGCAAGAAAAATAAGTAGTAAATTGTAATAACGTAATCCTTACTGTTTAGGATGGCAGGACATATAGATTTATCAGAGCGCATAGTCGAATGCATGTACGAAGTAACAGATAGACTGACATATTATATATGTTCACGTAAACCAAATCACTGTATGGATGAACATATAATAATTCCAGAATGTTCATTGCTTTTGGAACAAAATGATTTAAACTTAGAAGGAAGAAATAAATTACAGTTGGTGAGTACATAATTTATTAAACAAATACCGGTATAATAGCTAGATTTATCATTTTCCTCAGTTACCAAACCACTTACTGGAAGAATTAGCAATGGACGTATACGATGAAGTCGATCGCCGTGAAACCGAAGAAAGTAAGTAAATCCTTATGTTTCATTATACACAGAATCATTTTGAAGAATAGATTAGTATCTAGAAATAATTCTATATAGTATCCAAGGTTTTTGGATTTTATGTGTAGTTATTTCTAGACGCAATTAAAGCAATTACACATGTACTTATTGCTCCACTGTTTTATTAATATGCATGTTTTTTTTATTGCATCATTGTTAAGGAGAGGTGAGTTGAACTACAAGCTTGCAGTTTTTTAGTGATAGCTTAATTCTAAACTTTAATTTGGTAACATCGAATAGAGATATACTTATAGAAAATGTCATGCTTTTCTCTGTTGTTTAATCATTTAATATTGCAAAGTTAAATCTTAAGACTCTAACATGCAAACTTTTCTTCTTTAACTAGTCTGGTTTGCTATTGCACCTTTACCAGAAAGATGTACAGTACCTTTTCTACCAGTGAATCCGCAACTATCGTCCACAAGAAATCAAGGTAGACAAAAATTAGCAAGATTTACGCCAAAGGAATTTGCTACACTTATTATAGATCTGCTTATCGAGGCTCGTAGAAGGCATGTACTTTCGAATAATGCACCAGTGCAAGGTAGGTGAAAACTTGCATGCAATTAATACTAAAGATTATTAATTGTATAAATAATATATGTATCGATCGTCAGATCCAGCAGTATCTGTGCTTCGCAAAGAACATCAAGGAAAGTATGGATCGCAAATGTCCGACGACGAACCTTTATACGATAGCGTCGCGTCTGACGATGATTACGCGCTAACATCAACGGGCAATGCAGCGCCCGAGTATTCAACGTCACAGTTCAAAATGAATAACGAGGTAAGCATAAAGTTATTTGACAATATATGGAAATCTTATAAACAAGTGTATTCAATGAAAGAAGATGGATGATGAGTTACTTGTTGGAATAGATAAAATTGTGTGGTAACATATTAAAGGTACCGGCACTAGTAACGAAAAGAAGAATAAGGAATCGGCTAAGTACTTGGCTCTTCTGTAGACAGTGCTATTAGGCAAGTGCACAGGTCTGTTAGTGCATGTGCAGCCATTGCCAGAATTGTAGAAACTTGAACGTTCTATTTTATTATTAAAAATTTGCATTCTCTTACCTTTTTTTCACGATTCATTTACTAAAATTTGTAACACAGACATGTTAATTATGTGTTTTGTTTTATAACAATCGTATCGCGTGACTTGGAATATCTTTTGGTTTTTTTCGTCTCTTAATAACCGAATCATACAGAGTTTCTTGAAATACCATTGTAGGAAGCTTTTGCACCATTAGCCAAGGGTCTTCCATCTGTCGTCGAAGTTTTGAAAAAACAATTAACTTTATCCGAATCAACCGTCAGGGATCTCCGAGAGAAAATACATGCTTTACAGAATACCATAGAATTACTTACGCACGAGAATAACGAATTGAAGCAAACGATTCACGTAAGGCGATTATATTTTATTTGGTTTACCGCATTCGATGGTCACAAATCGAGATCTAATTTACGGAAATCGTAGGCGAAAGAGGTAGCAGATGGAGTTATCAATGGCCATGTCGGTGGAGAGCAAGAACCAGAGTTGGAACCAGTACTCGACATAAAGACGTCCCTTAATAGAAATAATCAACGACCTGCTTCTATGTATGAGACAAGAGAAGGTTTGCGGAAACCTAGTTCGTGGTCAACAGCCATTTGTCAGGTACTCGTATTCTTCTTTCTTATTTAAAACTCTTAAAGCATAGGCTTTCGTAATTATTCCGCAAATTCCGTTTAAATGCAAAACGTAGACAAAGAGAGATCCCGATTCGATGTCTCGCAATAACACGCAAAGTTTATGGGAATGCGGTGCTCCGAATCTTCCTCCCAGCGAGGAAGTAACTCGAAGAACGGAACAGGTCACAAGAAGAATTCAGGAATTATGGATGGCTATGCAAGATCCGAAGCAGCGAGAAGCTTTCGTGCCCTGCGCGGAAAGAATTCGCGTTGCGGTTGCTGAACTGACAGCTATATTTCCTCAAGTAAGATACGCGTTTCGGACAGTTTCCCGTTTATCGTAGGCATTACGAGTGTACAGTAATTCTTTCCTATAGAATCCCATCGAGGAGAACATTAGATCTGCTCTGCGACAATTAAACGGTAATACAGGTAGACTTCAAGCGGAGTGCTCCGGTCTTCAAAGATGCACCAGTGACGTTGAACACATGGACCGTTGTCTGCAACAAGTACGTTCATGTGCTTATGACATTGCCAAAGCAACGAAGCTTCTCGTTACCCAGTTTCAAACGTAACGAATAAAAGTATTAACATTGAAAATTTTTTATACTCGCGGGATATGTATATAACTTGTACAGAGACACGTAACATTGTAATACTCAGACTCATCACACGCATTGTATAAGTACTCTCGTATTACATCGCGTAAAAGCCTTTTGTTACATGATAGATTTTCTCTTTTCATTTCAATGTAAATAACGAGTAAATTCTAACGCATCGACATCCGTATAACCTTGCTAAGAAATATTGAAACATGACATTCTTCAAGATTCAATACATATATTACGTAACTTTTAACATTTTATAAAGACTGAATAGCCACGAACCAATGAATCTTATTAATATGCAATTTAAGTTTGTGTATTTGGTTTTATAAATGTAACCGTTGCTTATATAAGCTGGCATGCATGCGATAAGGATTTTAAGCGTGGCATTAATTAGCTGCACTCATGCAATCAAAATATTTTGTGCAATACGAAACGAGGATAATTAATTTTAATAAATTGTTTAATAAAATAATATAAAAATCATCTACATTTCAAAATCAATAATAAGATTTACCTCAAACCACGCAATTGTTCATGAAAATGGATTATATACGACGAAAAGTTCGGTAATTGGATAATTTTGTAAAAAAATTATTTTCAAAAGTAGTCCAGCTTATATGGAAGCATGATAAATGAGTGAGACGTTTGTCGCCAGTAAAAAGAGTATTTCTCTTTTTTTTCTTTTTAATTATTGTGGCTACATGCCGATCACATTAGTTCATAATCATAATAATTGTGGTTTATAAGTTAAGTTTTATTGTTGTAATGTTGAAGTTAGGAATATATGTTTAACTATATAATAAAGTTTAAATATCGCTCCATTGTTGACACAGATTACGCTGATAAACTTATTTACAATATATTCTATGAAAAGTTCCATAATCAAGCCTAAATTCGTATGTCTCCAACAATAATTTCAAATCCATACGAAACGTAACGTTGTTGTTCTATGGCTGTCGCATCGAAAGTTTCGATGGGAATAATTCGATATAGATATGATTGTACATGCACATGTACTCGTATATATATGTATATATATATTTATACAATAAACGGATTTGTTTTAACAAGCAAAATCGTTGCGTACAATTACGCAGTTGGTCGTAATTTATACACCGCTCGAAAGTCGCGATGAACGTGTATTTCCATATTTTCTAATGCAATCAATATAAATAATTTTAGAGATACGGCCGAGTTCAAGTTACCTGTGAAGCGTCATCCGTGGTGTTACTCACGAGACGCGTGTTGTCGGAAAATTGTTCGCGATTTCGTGAGATTCCAAAATTTTCTAGAGCATTCGTAACGAATAAATTCTGAAACGGTATAAATCCGCAGGAAATAAGCGAAGCGACGGGGAAAAAAAGGAAATCGTCAACGGATCTTTCGAATGGGATCGAGTTTCATGAGACACAGCCTTTAGAGAATTCTTGTCTAGTGAATTTCGTAGGCCAATGATTCACAAGCGTTTTCGCGCTACCTGTTATGAAATCTTCGACGGATGATACAAAAACACGTGTTCTTTTACATTTAAACCGTGTAAGTTTCGCGTTATTCGAGTCGATTCAAGGAACGCAAGAGTAGGTAGGTAAAACAGTGCGGAACGGGCGTGAAAGAGGCGGCATTTTCCGTAAGAAAACCGGTGTAACAGAAGCATTTACGCGGATGATTGAAGGGGAAAGTGGTGAAGCAGCAGAGCGGCCATTTTATGTTAGTATGACGTAGAGGCTGGGTGTAGCTTCGCGTTCAACCGTCCGTGTACTCTTGGAAAAGGCGAGAAAATCTGAATTCTGATGCTGGGGTCCAGGTAAATGCACGCACCACGCGCTGAACGTGTGAACCGTAAGATTAAGCCTGACGAACGCGAGGATACTAGTTAAATACGGAAGTACACACAGGGGGTAGCCGAGAAGAGCGAGCATGAGCGAAGAAAGCAATCCCCGAACGCTTTATGTGGGTAATCTAGACACTACGGTGTCGGAGGATCTTTTGTGCGCACTTTTTTCGCAAATAGGTGCCGTGAAAGGATGCAAGATCATAAGGGAACCGGGGAACGATCCGTATGCGTTTGTCGAATTCACGAATCATCAGTGCGCGGCCACGGCGCTAGCCGCCATGAACAAGCGATCTTTCCTGAATAAGGAAATGAAGGTTAACTGGGCAACGAGCCCTGGAAATCAGCCGAAGTTGGACACCAGCAATCATCATCACATATTCGTCGGCGATCTGTCACCGGAGATCGAGACGCAAACCTTGAAGGAGGCGTTCGCGCCGTTCGGCGAAATTAGCAACTGTAGAATTGTACGTGATCCGCAAACTATGAAGAGCAAAGGGTACGCTTTTGTATCTTTCGTGAAGAAATCCGAGGCTGAGGCAGCGATAGCAGCAATGAACGGTCAGTGGCTTGGGTCTAGAAGCATCAGGACAAATTGGTCGACCAGAAAACCACCACCCCCAAGGTCCGAAAGGCCACGACATTCAAACAATAGTAAACCTAACTACGAAGAGGTATGGCAGTGTTTTCCGTAACTTATTAGCCTTAGTCGACCTTAGTTATCCTTGCATCCGATCCAAACACGTACAAGTTGCCTATCTCAGAAAATATGATATTTACGTACGGTTCGTTTGTCGAATATATATATACATATATATACATATAAATTACTTTGTTTCTGTTATTGTGTTTTTCATGTATTACTCGTCGACAGGTATATAACCAAAGTAGTCCAACCAATTGCACAGTATATTGTGGAGGTTTCACGAATGGTATTACGGATGACTTAATAACCAAAACATTTTCCCCGTTCGGCACCATCCAAGACATAAGAGTATTCAAAGATAAAGGATATGCGTTTATTAAATTTACTACTAAGGAAGCGGCGACACATGCCATAGAATCTACACATAATACGGAAATTAACGGTAGCATTGTTAAATGTTTTTGGGGAAAGGAAAACGGAGATCCTAATAGCGTGGGTCCTAATGCGAATCACCAAGCTCAACAGGTTATTTGAATGCATACAACTGTTTACGACCTACAAAATTTTCTTCCCTTCGATTTGTATTTGGGAAAGCATGTCGAATCATTGTATTACGTTACTGCACACTGTAGAAAAAGAAGAATATATTAACATGTAGAATGTTTTATGTAACAGGTTACAGCTGGAGCTGGTCAGTATGCATATGGATATGGTCAACAAATGGGTTACTGGTATCCACAAGGATATCCGCAAATGCAGGGTCAGTTTTTACAGCCTGCACAATACTATAGCCAATACTACGGACAACAGGCTCAATATATGAATAGCATGCGAATGCCTGCTCCTGGTGCAGGCACATGGCAATCTGCACAAGCAACTGCCGCACCACCGACCGCGACTGCACCATTGCCACCAGGTCAGCAACCTGCCATGGTAGCATACACCATGCCGCAATATCCTACGCAATGAAATTGATCAATAATCGGCATCAACTAATTGTTACATATGATACATTTGCCCCTGGGGCTTTTGCAAAAACTGTTCTGTCATATACCTATTCTAACAGATTTATTGGTATTTTGACTGCAGCATCATATGTGCAAATATCCACTTTCTACTTCGGTCGAAGTAACACACTGTAAAGAATGCTCCTAAATTTGGTTGTCCCAATATTGACTGATATTGAAATGCTCTTACTGCAAAAGAACTGTTCCATCAAAAAGTTCAAAGTGATATGTATTTACATATATATATATATACACACATAAACAGACACAGAGACAGACACAGGCATATTTCCTTTATACGTTTCCCTTGCCAAACAATAGAAACGTATACCGTTTTAACGAATGCAAGCGTATCAGCTTGCAATGCTCATTGAAAAATTAAACAAGTGAAACCACGGAATTCAAAAGAATTTATCATTGCAGTCAATCTGTCAGCGTGATTGAATAATCTTATCAAAAAAGCGTTTGTATTCATGGTGTTGAATGAGGTATATTTCTGAACTTAAGGTTGCAGCCCCTTGACGAGCCCTGCATTCGTTGTGCTGCGTAAGGTGTACGTATGTATGCGACCATTGTGTTGTTATATTTTTAATATTTTTGCCACAATTACCAATCTTTAGTTTATTTCAAATCATTAATGAGCAAAGATGAATGTTCATTTATGGTAAACAGGAAGTATGACATTGAACATAGTATAAGATAGAGAGTATAGGTAGACACGGCGCCTGTGATGTAGCTAGACTTGGATGCATGCTTTAACGTATGCAGGGCCCTTATTAAAATACACTATGCGAGTCGGTAAACGAGTTGTAAACTTTCCTCGTTATGTGATATTTATCGTCGGTGGTAAATGTACAAAACTTTCTTACAAACGGTTTAGAAGAAGAAAACGAAAAAAAGAGTATTCCAGAAAGTGTGTCAAAAAAACGAAATATTTTTATGTCGAACTTGACTTGCGTACATTGCATTGTATACACTTTAGTGACTCCTCTCCATTTGTACAGAAAAGCGGTAAACCTTGGTGTAATTATTACAACGTAATTTAAGTGTAACGGTAATGATAAAAACTTCCACTAAGGAATGGAGTCACTATCGTCCTGTCTTTGTTAAAATTGTGCACTGGAAGTCGGCATTATGTTTCCTTTGGTAGACATAGTGTATCGAGAATCTTTTGTCTCATAAACAATCAGTGTATCAATTGACAATCACCTTTGATATTATCTGATACTTTTGACATCGTTGTAATTATTGCATGGCACGATATTTATATCTTCGTGTCTTCCAATTAATGCAGTAGATATATATTTGTTGCACACTTTACACACACACGCACACACACGCATACATACACACAAACACACACACACGCGCACACACGCACACAAGATTTCATTCCTTGAGTTTCAGTGGTGTTAGCTTTAATATTTATTTTTTTTTTCCTTTATTGATTTTGCCTCTTTACATCTAATTGTACTTTAAAAGAAAAAAACAAACTAATACTTTGTATCCTATGTATTGAATTACGAACCATTTAATGAATTGCTTGGTAATGATAAAAGGATTAGAATGAATTAGTATAACGAATACTAATTGACACAAAGTTTCACCACCGACGATAAAAAGCCATAAACCTTTCAAAACCCATTTGTATAAAGTCAGTACT